GGGCCGTCATCTTTCTATATATCTGAAGAATAACGCATCGAACTCTCAATCTCATTGCGATTCTTACGCACGATAGCATATAGCAAACCCCGAGAAGCCGCCCGCAAATGGCGATGGCTACCAAAATCCCCGCAAGAATGCCCCCATCCCTCGTCGCCCGATCTCTCTCCTCCGCGTCCTCCCTCGCCGAGAAGCTCCCGAAGGCTCCGTCGCCGGCACCCCTGGCCATCGACCTCTCCGACACCCAGCGCCTCTTCGCCTCCGTCCCCACCGCCTCCCTCCTCCACTCTCTCGCCAACCTCTCAGCCATGGCCGCCGGCCCGCTTGTCGACGTGGGCGTCGCGGCTTTGCGGGCCGCGTTGGCATCGGAGGTGCAGATCCTCCGGGCCGCCGCCATCGGGGTGGCACGGGCGACGGTGCATCGCCACTTCTGCGCCGGCGAGGGGTTCGAGGACGCGGGCCGCGCCGTCACGGAGATGTGGGAGGAGCAGGGGCTGCGCTCGATCCTGGACTACGGGATGGAGGACGCTGAGGACAGCGCAGCTTGCGACCGCAACCTCGCCGGATTCCTGCGGACGGTCGAGATGGCGTCGTCGCTCCCGCCCTCCTCCGTAAGTGGTTTATTTCACGATTAAGTGATTCGTAATTGATGAACCTTGAAATGCAACGAGTGCGATAGCAGTGGTTTCTTCGATCGATAGAATCGAATCTCCATAGTTCATTACAATGATTCATGAGAAACGCGTCACGGAAAACGTGGAATCGCTCTAGTTTCTTGTGAGTGGCATAAGAGAGTGAAATGATAGAGAGGTTGTGGTTTCAACTTTACTTTCGTCACCTATGAAGATTTGAAGTTGAGATTAGAAATCAATCAGATGCAGTCATGCAAATAGTCTGGCAAGAAGAAAAGGGTAGATGGTGGAATTGCTTTGAATTGGTCAACTAAATTTATTGACCTTCCAAAATGGAGGAATCTAAGACTAATAGAATTTTAGATATGTTATTATTAGAAAATAATTGTTACTTCTTCTCACCAAGAACAAATGAAGCTGACAAAGCTTTTCTGATCAGGCAAGTGTATGCGTAAAGATCACAGCAATTTGCCCCATCTCGTTGCTGGAGAGAGTCAGCGATCTGCTGAGGTGGGAGCAGCAAGACCCGACACTGCAACTTCCATGGAAGACCAATTCGATTCCGGTTCTCTGCGACTCCAGCCCCCTTTACCTCACACGTTCAGCGCCAGATCCTCTAACTGAGACGGAAGAGAGCGACCTCCGATTGGCCTCGCAGAGGCTGTCCAAGATCTGCGAACGATGCACAGAAGCCAACATCCCGCTGCTGATCGACGCAGAGTACACCTCGGTGCAGCCCGCGATTGATTACTTCACGTATGCAGCAGCGGTGCAATTCAATCATGGCGACCACCCTATCGTCTTCGGAACGATCCAGGCTTACCTGAGGGACTCCAAGAAGAGGATGGTGAACGCCGTGCAAGCTGCGGAGCGCGAGGGGGTCTCTTTGGGTGTCAAACTAGTGAGAGGTGCATATATAACAAGAGAGACCAAGTTGGCATCATCCTTGGGCGCGCCGTCGCCCATTCATCCGAGCATCCAAGAAACACACAATTGCTTTAACAGTTGCGCTTCCTTCATGCTCGAAAAGGTCAGGAGGGGATCCGGTGCAGTCGTGCTTGCCACCCACAACGTTCGATCTGGTAGGTGTGCTGTGATCATCAAGACTCAGTCTCCGTGTTACTTTTGAGTGCCTGGGTGATCATCTGCCGTGGGAACTGTTGCAGGACAAATGGCTGCAGAAAAAGCAACGGAGTTGGGAATTGGGAGGGTTGATCGCAAACTCCAGTTCGCACAGCTGATGGGGATGGCGGATGGACTCACATATGGACTAAGGAACGCGGGTTTCCAGGTGAGCAAGTACGTGCCATTTGGGCCAGTGGAGCAGGTCATGCCATACCTGCTCAGGAGAGCCGAGGAGAACAGAGGACTCCTTTGCACCTCCACAGTCGAGAGACAGCTCATAAGGTTTACGATCTCAAACCATTGCACAACCTTGTCACTTTTACTTTCTCCAGCTTCAATCTTCATTGCTATGTTTTCTCCAGGAAGGAGATCTTCAGAAGACTTGCCGCTGCAGTTGCTTGGACGACTTAGCATCACTCAAATCAAGGGTTAGGGTGTTTAACATGTATAATTGTACTATAGTAACAACAGATATCTGTCTTTGCTCACTCGCCTCACAAGATTTTGCTAGATGAGATCTTGTCTTGATGACAAGTTCTCTTCACACCCTGTTCTTTTCTCAATCTTAGTTGCTAATTTGTAATATACTATGTGCCTTCTTATAGGTGATCGTAGGGAGCTTCATTTATTGCCGGATCAAAAGGCAAAGAACAAGGCAAAAGGCAGCAACGAAACATGTAAAGAATTAGAACCTTAGGCTGGGGATAACCAAAGTGCCCCGTACGGAACACTTCCCAATCAATCAAAAGCTCATGTCGACATTGACCTGACGCAAGGATAACTCTCGATCATCACGAGTCAAGATGGTGGCGTTCTTATGGGTCATCAAGTAGCAACACTCCATGAGACCTGCAGAACTGGCCATTAAATCTCACTACTTTTGGTAGCATGTTGCGACCAACAGGTCTCATCATCCCTCTAAGCTTCTCGGAGAAACGTTTGCTCTGCGACTTCACTGCTGTACCAAAAGAATCTGGGTTGGATATATGTTTAAGCTTGCAGTGACATCTCTGCAACTTGTAATTGATGATGACATTGTGCTGTCAACGTGTTAAACAAGAGATTCCAGCTTCATGTTGCTACTTCCAGGGATGGTTTTTTTGGCCTATGTTGGCTGTCATAATTGCACCGGACAAGCCTTTGGAAATGTAGAACTGAGATAATTTTCATGGCCCAGAAAAGAGTCGGTCGTATCAGAGTTTTGAAAGATTAAACAATTTATGAGGCAAGGTGACACATTCAGCAAGTTATCAATGGACATAATGTAAATACTTCAGATTTAATCTAATATTGGATGTGGGTAAGAATTTGGGTTGATTTATGATGGTTCCATGAGTGTATTAATATTATTAATTTAGGTTTAAATATTTTGAATCAATAGATTAGACATAATAAAATTAATAGATTAATTATCTCATCATATTGGGTCATGATAAATAGTCTTAAAATTAATAAATATACTAGGGTATAATTTTTGACTATATTAGAGCTTGACGAGAACCCCTAAGTGAGAAAAAAAAATAGTCTTAATATTTTAGTTTGGTTCATATTCAATAAGTTAGATCGAGTCATGACAAATAGTATCATAGGGTGGATGACTCATATACAAAAAAAAAAAAAAATTTGTAGGTTAGAGGTCAAGAATAAATTCTTACATGATCTTAAATAGAGTCACCACTTAATTGATTGTTAAGATTATAATGGGATATCAAGATCTTAAATAGATGAGATTGTGATTCTCTAGTTTTAATCTCATATTGAACATGGATAATAACTTAGATTAACTTATAAAGATTTAATGAATATAATCTTTATTTTTTTTATCACTTTCTTATTTATACCATAAAATTTTCCTTTATAAAGTGTTTAACATGTGAAATTTAGTCATTTTACACGTGATTATAGATTATTCAAAGTCCCAACAAAATAAATTCATATGACACAAACCTGCCAAAAGAGATTTGAATTCATATAATATAATACGGTTTAATGAATGTATTATCATGTGTTCGTGCTTAGGCATATTGAATCAATTGCTTGACATAATTATCATGACGATGATAATTATGTCGAGCTTCATATGCATGGTACGATATTATGACTATATTAATCTTTAAAACTAAATAGTGATTATAATATCTTAATTAATTTCACATAAGAAGTAAAATAAAAATAAACTAAAAGATTTAGATGGGTCAACTATCATTATTTTTGGTCAATATTTCATACATAAACAGGACAATATTATGTAATAAAACAAGTAAAACATCTGTTCAGTTGATTGTTCCCTTTTTGTCTTCCATTTATTAAAAAAAATCTCAGTTTTGGTAAGATTTGCTGTTTGTTCATTCATTTATTCCTCTTTTATTTCTATGTTTGATCTAATGACTGTTAAATAATAAAAATTTAAATTATAAAAAAAATATAGGATCACGTATTAAAAGAAACCGAGAATTGTATGATCTCACTCTCAGTAGGAATTTGAGGGGATCCTTTATTTTCTGTATACCTGTCCGAGCCCAACAGGTACGTGAGTCGTAAGCTGCACCACCTTAGCATCCTTCGTTAAATCTTGGCCAGTAATAATCGAGTAATCCTTTACTTTTGGTAGCATATGAGCTGTTCCATATCTCAAGTGATGGTCAAATTATTTATTTGGGAATGCACAGCCTTCAATCGCTATAATACTGCACTTCCTTCCTTGCCGGAGGATGCCATACCATACTGAGCTCCTCCTGTCACGGACGACGGAGGAAGCGTTCGCTGCTTCGTTGGGTGACATCGCACTGCGTGTATCCTTATCAACGCAGATTCCAGCGGTCCCGCGAGTCAACCCTTATCTTGCTGGACCGAATTGCCCTTTGAATCTTCACGGAATGGCGACGTGGCATCCAATCGTGTCGATGAGAAACGTTGCGTATCTCGCGCAAACCTGGTCGCCGGGGCCCGATTTAAGATACGACTCTTATCTCGGCACAATTTAATTGTTACACAAGGCTAATACCATCTTTTAATTAGCTAAAACAGTGGAGCCCACCGGGTTTCACCTCTTCTTCGACCTAATAAAAAGCTGTGGGAAAACGGGTACCCGAATTTTTAGGAAGGAACCAAATTTACAGCAGAGCTTTCTATAACGGGACCCGTTTCTCTGCGAGTAACGGAGTTTCCAAGGCCCAAGTTGGGCCGTCGTCTCTCTATATTTCTGAAGATTAATGCATCGAACTATCAAGCTCAACACGATTCTAATGCAAGAAAGCATAAACCATACCTTGAGAAGCCGCCCGCAAATGGCAATGGCTACCAACATCTGTGCCAGAATCCCCGCATCCCTCCTGGCCCGATCTCTCTCCACCGCCTCCTTCCTCACCGAGAAGCTCCCGGAGGCTCCGTCGAACCCGGTCATCGACCTCTCTGACACCCAGCGCCTCTTCGCCTCCGTCCCCACTGCCTCCCTCCTCCACTCCCTCGCTAACCTAACCGCCATGGCCGCCGGCTCCCTTGTCGACGTGGGCGTCGCGGTTCTGCGAGCCGCCTTGGCGTCGGAGGGGAAGCTCCTCCGGGCCGCCGCCATCGGGGCCGCAAGGGCGACGGTGCACCGCCACTTCTGCGCCGGCGAGGGGTTCGAGGACGCGGGCCGCGCCGTCACGGGGATGTGGGAGGAGCAGCGGCTGCGCTCGATCCTGGACTACGGAATGGAGGACGCCGAGGACGGCGCAGCCTGCGACCGCAACCTTGCCGGCTTCCTGCGGACGGTCGAGATGGCGTCGTCGCTCCCGCCCTCCTCCGTAAGTAGTTTGCTTCACGAATAACAGATTCGTAATCGATGAACCTTGGCATGCCACGTATGGGATAGCAGTGGTATCTTCGATGGATCGAATCGAATCTCCATAGCAATTCATTATGAAGGAATCTAGACTTTATAGAATCTTGGATTTGTTAGATTTGGAAAATAATTTTTATGCCATATACACCTCAGGAAGAACCAAACGAATCTAATGAAACTTTTTCCGATCAGGCAAGTGTATGCGTAAAGATCACAGCAATTTGCCCCATCTCGTTGCTGGAGAGAGTCAGTGATCTGCTAAGGTGGGAGCAACAAGACCCTACTCTGCAACTTCCATGGAAGACCAATTCGATTCCGGTTCTCTGCGACTCCAGCCCCCTTTACCTCACACGTTCAGCGCCAGACCCTCTAACTGAGATGGAAGAGTGCGACCTCCAATTGGCCTCGCAGAGGCTGTCCAAGATCTGCGAACGATGCACAGAAGCCAACATCCCGCTGCTGATCGACGCAGAGTACACCGCGGTGCAGCCCGCGATTGATTACTTCACGTATGCAGCAGCGGTACGATTCAATCATGGCGACCACCCTATCGTCTTCGGAACTATCCAGGCTTACCTGAGGGACTCCAAGGAGAGGATGGTGAACGCCGTCCGAGCTGCGGAGCGAGAGGGGGTTTCTTTGGGGGTCAAGCTAGTGAGAGGGGCTTATATGACAAGAGAGACCAAGTTGGCATCATCCTTGGGCGCGCCGTCGCCTGTTCATCCGAGCATCCAAGAAACGCACAATTGCTTTAATAGTTGTTCTTCCTTCATGCTCGAAAAGGTCAGCAGGAAATCCGGTGCAGTCGTCCTTGCCACCCACAATGTTCAATCCGGTAGATGTACAGTAATCATCAATTCAAGCCTTCCTTTGCCTTAGTTTGAGAATCTGGATCATCATCTACCATGGAATCTGTTGCAGGACAACTTGCTGCAAAAAAGGCAATGGAATTGGGAATTGGAAGGGATGACCACAAACTGCAGTTTGCGCAGCTCATGGGAATGGCAGATGGGCTCACACATGGACTCAGGAATGCTGGTTTCCAAGTGAGCAAGTACGTGCCATTTGGGCCAGTGGAGCAGGTCATGCCTTACCTCCTCAGGAGAGCCGAAGAGAACCGAGGACTCCTTTGCACCTCCACAGTCGACAGACAGCTCAAAAGGTTTATGATCTCAAGTCATTGCACAACCTTATCGCATTTACTTTGTCCAGCTTCAAGCTTGTAAAACATCACATTGCCATGTTTTCTCCAGGAAGGAGATGTTCAGAAGACTTGCTACTGCAGTTGCTTGGAGGACTTAATATCTAACTCAAATCAACATACTCAGAGTTCAAACAGTATAATTTTACTATATTTAACTCACATTGCTAAATGAAGCCGGTCAATACTATATTTCGCAAGATTTTGCTAGATGAGATCTTGGGTTGATGACAATATTTCTACTCACCTTGTTCTCAATTCAATCTTAGTTACTAATTCGTTACATGATATATATTTACCTTCTTATAGGTGACTGTAGGGAGCTTCATATATGCCGGATCAAAGGCAAAGAACAAGTCAAAAGCCAGCAACCTGTACAAGTGTAGAATCCGAACCTGAGGCTGGAGATAAACCAAAGTACCCCACACAGTACACTTTCCAGTCAAAACCTTAACCCGTCCTCGGTCATCAGCGGTTGACCTTCAAAGTTGGATCCAAGGAACGCTAATGTCGACGTTGACTTAACGCGAGGGTTGCTCTTAATCGTTACGAGCCAGAATGGTGGTGTTCATATGGGTCATCAAGCAGCAAAGCTCCATGAAGCCTGCAGAACTGGCCATTAAATCTCAGAGCTTTCGGTAACTAACACGCTGCGGACTTCACTGCTGTCCTAAAAGAATCTGGAGCTGCTTGTATCTGTTTAAGCTTGCAGTGACACTGCTGCAACTTGTTATTGATGATGGCATTGTGCTGTTGTTGTGGTGAACGAGAGCTTCCAGCTTCATGTTGCTACTTGGCCTGATGGTGCTTTTCCTTGCATACGTTGGCCTTTAGAACTGGATTGGATGAGCCTTTGGAAATGTACAACTCAGTTAATTTGCATGGCCGGCAAACGTGAAGTCCCATCGTCTGAGAAAGATCAAACTGTTCATGTTGAAACGAGTTATCAACAGGCTTGAATTGCCTACGAGTAGTGGCAGTGTTGCGTTCATAATAAATGATCTGATTTCATGCTTAAATAATAGAATTTGATACGTAGAACAGAATCTGGTCAAACCGTGGACCAGAAAAGTCGGCGTTGTCCGCGGTCGGGTCGTGTCGTGTCGTGTCGTGCCGTCATAGTCGACCACGTCACGTAGTGCCCCGTTCCTCCTATTCTTGTATCCACGTATAAATACACGCCCACCGGGAAGACGAGGGTTGACCCTTTCCTCTCCCCTTTGCGCCTCCTATTCTCTTCCATTTCTACGTTCGTTGCTTGTTTTCTAGGGTTTCCCAATCAAATCCACACGCAAATTTAGGATTCATATCCTTTTTTTTTTTCTTTGGTGTTTTCGTGGGGTTTTGGTTCTTTGGGTTTGTTCAGATCGGATCCGAGGATGTTGGAGCAGCTGCTGATCTTCACGCGGGGCGGGCTGATCCTGTGGGAGCTCGGCAACGCGCTCAAGGGATCCCCGATCGACGCCCTCATCCGCTCCTGCCTCCTCGAGGAGCGCTCCGCGGACGCTGCCTTCCATTACGACGCCCCCGCCGGATGCGCCGCGTACACCCTGAAGTGGGCCTTCGACAACGACCTCGGCCTCGTCTTCGTCGCCGTCTACCAGCGTATCCTCCACCTCCTCTACGTCGACGACCTCCTCGCCGCTGCCCGCCGCGAGTTCTCTCGGGTCTACGAGCCCAAGCGGACCTCCTACGATGATTTCGACGAGACCTTCCGCCAGCTCCAGAAGGAGGCCGAGGCCCGGGCCGAGGAGATGCGCAGGTTCAAGCAGGCCGGCCGTGCCCCCGCGGCGCCTGGCAAGAAGCAAGTTCCCGGCGCCGCTTCCAGGGGTTCCGGGAAGCAACGGAGTAGTGGTGGTGGCGGTTCGGGGAAAGATGAGTCCGACGGTTATCCAGGAAAAGGTCGTCGGTCAGAGAATGGTAGTTCTAATGGGCATGAGAATGAAATAAAGCCGAATTCTCGCGCCCAGAATGTAGTAGTACACGGAAAAGAGAACGGAGCCCCTCGAGTTGATGCTTTCGATGTAAGTAAGCTACAGAAGTTGCGATCCAAAGGTGCTAAGAAGACGGATACTGGTGGTGGTGGCTGTAAGGCTGCCAAGGCAGAGCCGAAAAAGATTGCAAAGAAGAACAGAGTTTGGGACGATTCGCCTTCCGAGTCGAGACTGGATTTCACAGATCCAGTGGCTGATAGAGGCGAAGGGCCTGAGGTTGTGGTAGCAGATCAGGGAGAGAGCATGATGGATAAGGAGGAAATTGTGAGCAGCGATAGTGAGGGTGAGGAGGATGAGGAAGTAGGGAATGAGAAACCTGGCACGAAGAAGAAGGGGTGGTTTTCGTCTATGCTCCAGAGGTAAATATCTCAATTTGGACCTCCTTAGTGTTACAATTTGGTGATTGCTTTGGTGCAGGATGATACTTTTCTGCTAAGAAAATATTGCTTTATTTTTATATACATGATTGTTGCAATTGTCGATTTGTGATTGTTGTATAAAGCTACAACCAATTGCTCTGATAGGCTTTGGCATCTTTCATGTCTTAAATTTCACTTTATAAGAGTTTTTCCTAACCCGATTCACCTGGATAATTGGATTTATTTGTCGAGGACGTTACTACAGTATCTTTACCTGGTTCCTATCAAATTCATTTAGTAAATGTATGACCTGTTTAGTCTAACTTTCTTTTGTATCAGCTTTCATTCTCTTTGCTTAATGACTTTACATTTGTTCTAGTGATTCATTCTATTCATGTCTTGTTACATGACTAAAGTCTCCCCAGCTTATTTGAAACATCATTTTCGGCAAATCCAGTGAATTAATAATTGATATTAAGATGGTCGACATTTTCTAAACCATATTGCACCAAAGTACCTGACAGGGTTATCCGACATTTTCATTTCATTCGTTTCAGTGTCCTGGTCATATTCATAATTATTTGAGAGAGGATGGGAGATCAGCTTTCTTGTTCCTTTGTTCTTCAGAAACAGTCGGATTGTATCACAAGCATTAGTGGCAACCCTAAATAGGCGTGATCCCTCGCAGTTATCAATATTCTGCAAGACAAAAATGTAGGACTTGCAGTCGCATAAAAAAGATTGCCTTTTGTTTTTTGGTGTTTATTTTTTCTCAGTTATCTTACAGCCAAATATTAGTATGGGCCATCTCTACAGTTGTCAGCTAATGTATGAGTGGTCTAAAATTGAAGTCATGAAAGAAGTATGTGTCAGAAGTCAAAAGGTGATAACTTAAATCGTCCTTCTTTCCTGATCACACTGGAGATTTTGCAATAATAAGGAATGTTTTGGATTTCTCCATGGTCAGATAGATTTTTTCCTTCAGAAGTGTAACTGCTAATCCATGTAAACCTGAATCTAACTGTTGTGTTTTCTTGGCTTCAGCATTTCAGGTAATGCTGTGTTAGAGAAATCCGACTTGAGACCAGCACTGAAAGCTCTCAAGGATAGGTTGATGACCAAAAATGTGGTACGTGTCTGATCTTATCCGCTTGGTTTATTCATGTATATAAATTTTTTATGTTTGTTTCAACTAGTTAACTTGTCACTACATTCTTAGAATTACTTTTTCATGATACTTTCAGGCTGAGGAGATTGCTGAGAAGCTTTGCGAATCAGTGGCAACAAGTCTTGAAGGGAAAAAATTGGGCTCCTTTACAAGAGTGTCTTCAACAGTCCAGGTTTTGTAGGCTTACTGCTTTTTTAATTTCTTTTGTTGCAGGCTTCGTTTTTCTGCACTTGGCTCATGCAAAACCTTCTATGTTAATGTTGGATGACAATCGCAGACAGCTATGGAGGAGGCGCTCCTTCGCATTTTAACTCCAAAACGATCCATCGACATTCTACGAGATGTCCATGCTGCCAAGGAGCAAGGAAGACCTTATGTTGTTGTTTTTGTTGGTGTCAATGGAGTTGGAAAATCTACCAATCTTGCCAAAGTAAGCATATCTTTCTCTTAATTTGCCAAAGTTAACTGGTATTGATCCTATTACATAGTGCCTTCTTTTTTTTTTTTCATTTTATAGGTTGCTTACTGGCTTTTGCAACATAAAATTAATGTCATGCTGGCAGCATGTGATACATTCAGGTCAGGTGCTGTTGAACAGCTTCGCACGCATGCACGCAGACTCCAAGTAAGCTACGTTTTTTTCTTTTAATTGTCATTATGTGGTGTATGCTATGTTTTTGTTCATTTTCTTGTTGTTTATCGGAGTTCACCACCACCCTGTTTTTGGCATTGTTTGATGGTGGAACTTGATTATATGCCTAGAAAATGTCAAAGATTATCAATGTACAATTGTTCAGTCAACTTCCATAAGAAAACACTTTTGACATGTCGATATGATATGCTATCTTCCTGTAAATATGTCATTTTCTTTCTCGGTGTTGAATGTTAAATGATGAAATTAACATGGCATCACCACTCATATGTACAAGTTACATTCCAATGTCGGTGTCAATTGAGCAGTACTACAGTAATGGAACAATATTTGAGAATAACTAAAATGCTTTACAGATACCTATTTTTGAGAAAGGCTATGAGAAAGATCCTGCAATTGTAGCAAATGAAGCTATCCAGGAAGCTAAACGCAACAATTCAGATGTTGTTCTTGTTGACACAGCTGGTCGAATGCAGGTAAGATTGCTTAGTTGTTTGAGGACTATTGCGATGGCTTAATATTTATGATATTCTGTATGTATTCTTCTTCCCGTCGCTTATCAGGATAATGAGCCACTCATGAGAGCACTCTCCAAGCTCATCAATCTCAACAACCCAGATCTAGTTCTTTTTGTTGGAGAGGCTTTGGTTGGAAACGATGCTGTGGATCAACTGACAAAGTTTAACCAGGTGCGGTATGATTTTGCTGGCTAATTTGCAAGATCACCAATTCAACACAAAGGACATATCTCCACTCATTTCTTGGTTTGACATACCTTGCAGAAATTAGCCGACCTGTCCATGGTTCCTAATGCCAGGTTGATCGACGGCATCTTGCTCACCAAGTTTGATACAATCGACGATAAGGTGGTAAACTGTATGCTGTAGAAGTTGCTTTTACAATTAGCCATCAATGTTTTCCTGGTTTTTGTAACTCGTGAAGAGCTTTCATGCAGGTTGGAGCAGCTCTTTCCATGGTTTACGTTTCCGGAGCTCCGGTGATGTTTGTTGGTTGTGGTCAATCGTATACAGACCTTAAGAAGCTCAACATCAAGTCCATTGTCAAAACTCTTTTAAAGTGAATGTAGTTCTTTGCTCTCTCTCTCATTAGTGTTTGCTACTCCTGCTTTGACTTTAATCCCCTGTGACCTCATTTTCTTGGCACTGGAAGCAAATAAATCATAATGGCTTGGTTTGGATTTATGATGTTATTATGCCTGTATTATTGGAATTGTTGTTCTCTGATTGAGAATTTGCATGGTAAAACAAGTCACTTTATTCATTTCATACATGCATTGTGGGAGAGCTCATCAATCAACCACGGGGTTAACAACATGCCCCAAGAACAACACTGCCTCGCTCTCCTCCTCCATGATAGCAAACATAAAAGGATGGTCAGCTGAGAAGTCCACAGGTGGACGATAACACAGTGCTCTAATCAATACTGCGGTTGCTGCAGCTGCTGTGGTGCCTTCTTCGTCAACCTCAATCCTCGCTTTGTGGTGCACCCTTGAGATGAATAGATTATCTCGTGGAGGCAGATCCGACACCATCTCTCTGAAATCTGCATGCCCACCATCAAAAGGAGCTTCCATGCCCAAGTCTGCCAAGACTTTTGATGCTTCGAATTCGTACACAAAATTGAACTTTGGGATCATGAAATTGCCAACTTCAACATCTCTACGTGGGGTGTGGTCCTTGATGAAGCTGGGATCAGATGAGAGCTTGTGGATGAGTAGAGGAAGGCCATCTTTCTTGTCAGGAAGAAATATCAGCATGTAGAGGAGACTTCTCTGGTTTGGGGTCCGTCGGTAGCGCAGTTTCAGCACTTTGAAGCCATCGAAGGAGGAGATGAACTGATCTCTCCGAGAAGTCATGAATGGCACTTGGACTGTACTGTTGTCCAGGAGATGAAATGTTCCATGTCTGGTCCCGGAAGCATCAAACTTGTCAGCCCACACTCCTTTGAAGTAGAGAGCGTTCGCGAGGATAAGCCTTGTGTACCCATCCACAGCTCCATCAGGGATAAGCTCATCGATAAGCCCATTCGTCTCCTTTTGAACCCACTCATTTACTTCCTTCGCTACTTCATTAGCCTGCCAACACAAATAAATGAAACAAAATTACTTTTGTAGCACTGTAAGGAATAATGCAACTTATAACCCTATATATATATATATATATATATATATATATATATATATATATATAAGATCGGTGTTAGAGAAAGATAAGATCGGTGTCTCACTTGCTGCTGGAAGTCGACGGACTTGGCCACCGCTCCGTAGACGGAAGCGGCCACGTCATGGAAGCCCGGCTTCAGGGTCAACGACCGGTCGACCCACACCCCGTTGACGAAAGACAGGCGCGGCCCGGCGCTTTCTACTACGCGGCCGTCGCCGTCGCCGCGGACGGACGCCATGAGTCGGGCGGAGGCGGAGTTGAGGTGGTCAACGGACGGGGAGCCCAGGAAGGAAAGCATCTGGTGCAAGGTCTCGCCGCTGGCCCCGGCGGCAGCGAGGCCGAGCGCCGCGCGGATGGACAGCGGGGAGAGGACGAAGTTGGAGCCGCTGGCGACGGCCGCGAGCCCCACGCGCTCCGCCACATGGAGGCAGGAGTCGACCTCTGTTGAGCTCATGGTGTCCGACACGGGGGGGTTGCGGTGGTGGGGTGGGAAGACAGAGGACGAGCGCACCGAGGACTGAGCGGCAATGGCGTTGGCTCACCGCCTTATATAGGACGACGAGACTTCACGGGCAAGCAAGCAAATGACTCGGAGAGGTTCGATGAGCTGACGTCAGGAACACGGAGACTTTACGACCAAGAAAACAAAGATGGAATATTAAATGATATCATTTTTTTATAATATTTTATTTAATCAGACGCGTTTAAATCGGATCGCGTATGCAAATGAGTTTTAATAGAAGAAATTAGATGTCTAATTCAAAGATCAAGCTCGAATATATACATACTGCTTTCCTTGATTGCAACTTTCTTATGTTGATCATGATCTTAATAAATATTTCATCTGAATAGCTCTATAAATTTGGAACAACAAATAATTATACTCTAAAATGAAGCAATTAGCTCATTATTAGAGTTATGTCTTCCCTAACCTGGAAACAAAAAAGATCTTAACATTCGAGAACTGTGCCTCCATAAAAAAGATGATGTCTAGTTGAGAATATGAAAGTTTCGTGATGAAACGATAGGGAAAGTAACAACGTTAGCCTGACACTATCAATTCATCCGTAATGACATGATCGAAAGAGCATGCACTCTTCCCTTGCAATCATCGATAGGAGTACGATCCATCAGTCCCTACCTAACTCGAGCTCCACGAGAGTTGCCAAAGTCCATCAGCATTAATCCACATTATTGAGACCTATCCTCTTTTTTCTCCTTACTTAGGTTATCTATTGTGAGCAATCTAACAAACCCCATCAAACCACGGTTTCGATAAGGCCCATGCATTCAATAGTAGAAGGCATGAATTCCAAGCGACGTGGTTCAGTTTTTCTTCCCTCCCTTTTGGGATACTTAGTGCTGAGGGTCATTCCTGCTTGTTCCCAAACAGGCCTCAGCCCTAACAAATGGCACTCCTGCTGTCGTCCTTCCCTGACGCCACCCACAGAGAAGTGTGCCCGTCAATCATTAATATTAATGAATCTCAGAATGATGTAAGGGACACTTCAACCCGCCACCAACCTCACGCCATCTATGGGTCAAGTATAAAAGCCATCCTCCAACACTCAAATGAGGTAACTGGACTATTTTCCACTTCTCTACTAACTCAATCATCGAACAGATTGGGAACATCTCCTGGATGTTGATCGCTTGTGCAAGTACCTTGGCTAGGCTTAGAGGCACTTCACGATAGCTCCAGAACCCACTTCTAGCAAACAAGCAGTGCCAACTAGATCCGCTTCCTGCCCCAATCTCCTCACGTGACCCACCTCGTGGACCCCTTTGGATGAACTTGTACCTTTAGGACCGAGCCAAACCGTATCAACTCCGCGATGAATGACATCAATGACAACAACACATAGAGACCAATTTAACTTCAGGAGTTTGTATGCACCAATTCAGGTAAATGGAATATATCTTCTTCATTTCACAAGGACAGGAAGTTCCTCTCATTACAAAAAGTACAGATGTATGCACTATTTACACCTTGCAATTCTGGATCTGCTCCCTGATGCATCCAGATTCTTGCCTATACAAAAGATTAATGGAAGATTAAAGGAAGAAAGACCACTAATTTTTCGAGGCATTTTTGAGAGTCCTGATTGTCATCATGAGCTGTTGTCTTTCACCTTCAACTTCTGCAAACTTTAGGCTTATCTCAGAATACCTTTCTTGCATTTCCTTCAGATCAGCTTCTGTTGACTCATTCTGCTTCCTTAGAACAGCCAACTCACTGATTATTTCAGAAACCTTATGATCATCAAATGCACAGGAAACAATGTGTTCCTTTTCTTCTGAATTAGTTCTTGAGAATCTGCAAACAGATTAACATCCTCATAAGATCACAAGTATTAGGAGTTTTATGTGGATCAAGGAAGAGAAATACTAACAATAAAAAAAAAAAAGTTACCTTGTGGCTTGTTCTTGATCTTTGGGGTTTGTATTGTTAATCTGTGCTTTAACTTCCATCCTTGATTGTTGCAGGCAATCAACATCACTTTGGCATTTGTTGGAATTGGCACACCTGGAGCTCTCATGGCAATGTTTGTCTTCCTGCACAAGATGATTGCACAGAACACAAACATCATTTTTATGCCTTAGTCATCCTACAAATGCACTACAATTCAGTGTAAACCTCAATGGTGCCAACATGCTAACTTTCAATTCAGTGTTTGTGTGTTGTGTCTAGCCATGCCTCATTTTACATCAATGGATTGTGCATAAGCAATTTCAGATAATTTCTTGAACTTTAAGAGGATGTTTTTGATGAAACTGCTTTTTTGTTCTATTTGAATCTCTTGCAAGTCATTTGAAATAATTATTCTATCTAGTGATCCTCTGCAGAATTATGATTGATTATGCTGAAGTCTAAAAGTGCTTCTACCTCAGAGTTCAGCAGTCTGATCACAGCCTCTTCTCCACCCCTCACATTCCTTAGGCCACTGTTTTCCTGCCTCATTGGCAGTATCTCTTTCTCGAGGAGTTCACCTTCCAGATTTCTATCATGAAGCATCATCTCCTTTGCGGTATACACCAATTTTTCTCTCTCTTCGGAGGCAAGAAATTTCTCGGTTTCGAGCTTTTCGATCTGTGTTTTTTGTGACCGCATTCTCTTATACCTTTCGAGCTCTTCATTCCGATCTTTCAGCTCCAATTGCAGCTTATCTGCTTCTTTCGATTTGAAGTCTACAAGGCTCAGTAGCTGTTGAAGATTCACACGGCATTGGCCTTGCACTGATGCCAGATCCTCCATGGTTTTCTTCAGAAGCTCTTCCAGGTAGCTGTTCTGTGAACGCAGCTCACTGGCTTCCTTCAGCGCATGCTTGACTGCTTTCTCGTTTCCGTAGAATGCGGATGAAGCTTGTGAAGACAGCCGCTTAAGTTGCTCGTGAAGCCGTTCGATGGTGGAAGCAAATTTCCACTTCGCTTTCCTCAGTGTTTCCTCTGCTCGTATGGCCTTCTTCTCCTGCTCAACTTTAGCCTGCGTCTGTGTCTGCAGTTCTTTCTCTAAGCTTTCGACATGGGCTTCGAGGTCATGGATGATTGCTGAATGCTCCGAACACTCATGGTGAATCCTGAGCTGCTCATGCTGCTCCAGCTTCGAAGAGATGTCATGGTTTTCCTGTTTCAAGATCTCGTAGTCCGAAGCAAGCTGTTCCAGTTGCATTTCTAGGTCTTTCTCATCCTTCATGCAGCAGGGTGTCTCCCTGTTCTTCTTCTCCAACAGGTCATCAAGATCTCTGACAGCAAGTAACAGTTCGGAATTAGCTTCCCGCGTCTTCTGCAGTTGCAAGCGGAGACTTGAGTTCAGATTTCTCTCGTGATCTAACTCTTGTTTGACCTCTTCCAGCTGTGATTCAGCTAAATCTTTCTCATCAACAGCATTTCTCTTCTGTGAAGACTTAAGCTCTTCACACTCTCTTCGTAGAGCATCTCTCTCCTCCTTCATGCTACTTATCTCCCTCGAAAGATCTTGCCGTTGCCTGCTTTCCTTGACGATTTGCTTTCGCAGAGTCTGCAACTCCAGCCCGGATTCTTCCACCTTTCTCGTCAAAACAACATCATCATCTGAGAATTGTAGTCTCTCTCTTAAAACGTCTCTAAGAGGTGAGAGGAAGCTGCCATTGTTGACTCTGTTCTCCCTTGTCTTGTGTATCTCTGAGCTACTACCAGAAGTGGCTCCAGATAAAGCACCAGAGCTCTGAGACTTTTGGAGCTTGCCATTGGAATCAGCACAATTGGGGAGGCTTCTGCTTGAAGGAAAGTCTATTCTCGGCTCTCTGTTGACATATGACCCAACCTGTTGGAAGTGAGAGAAACAGTTCATCATCAATCTATGGGAATTCAGAAGAATGACAAGGGATTTCATTGTGCAATTTCCAGATCTCCTATCAAACATTCTCTTGGAGTTCGACTCCTGAACGATTTGTTGTTGCAATTGTTTGAAGTTTTCGACAAGCATGAAGAAGGCAGCTTTCAATAATAAGTCGATACCTTCTACAAAGAAATATCTAAGAACTATTTGACGGCAGATTCATATCCTTACCTTCACCGAATTCATATCATTCCTTCCGATCAGTGCTTTGAGACCTTTTTTATTGTCACACTTACTTATCTGGCTCTGTAATGTTCTGCATTGTTGCCTTGCTGTTCCATCTCCATCTTCTTCTGCTCCCCTAATGATCAAAGAGAAGAGTCAAAAGGCAGCATAGATGAATCATGAAAGACTTACAGTAGAATTACTCCTGCTAATTGTTACCTGCCTGCAACTTCACCTTTCATTCTCTGTATGGTAACCTGTGATTTCAGGTAGAAATCCATTAATCAGGGAATGAAACCCAGCAACAAAATATTTGTGACATCGAGTAATTTGCAGCATCAAAATGCTCACATTCAAGATGGCTCCTGCCTTGAGAGGGAGCGCAACAGATGATGCTTTGAACACCTCAAAGTAATCTGCCAGGTTAACAGTGACTTCACCAAGAAGTCCGGGCTTGCTTGATCCCTGCAAACCCTTCAGTGGTCAGTCGCAGTTGGAAGCAGACAGAGCATAATTGATGTTTCTTACCTGTGCAGAAACAAGAAACTGGTAGAGCTTCTCATTAATCTTTCCACTCTTGGGATCGCACGCCAGGCTCACTGTTTCGTAGATTGGGTTCAGCCAGTTGCAGGTTCCATCCATCACCGCAACCTTTTCTGATCTTACGGTGGGCTTTCCTACATCCAGAGGAACCAAGCTCACCATCACTGTCTCCGATCCCAACACCGGCACCTAAGGAAACCGACAATGTAGCACCAGAATTCTCCCAAATCCAAGCCAGTTCATGTAGAACCAGTAATATGTTGGCCAAACTGACCTGTGTTGCTTGGAATTGCAACCTGAACACAACCTTGATCTTGTTCTTCTCGCTCCTCCATCGTGCTGCCTTGAACATCTTTGATCTTCTCCCCTTCAGTTGTTCATGATCTCCTCTGTTTGGCCTTCAGCAACAGAAGAAGCCTCCACATTGACACAAAGAAACACCTGGAGACTGCATGGAGGAGGCTTCTGACAGAGAGAAGAGGAAGTGTTGCAAGTAGGTAGCCTGAGAGACAGTGAGACTTGGGAAGGAAACTGGCAGGCAGATCCAGTCACTGAGTGTTTTGTTTTCTTTCTATATTTCTGCAGCAGTGACTGTTTGTGTTGCACAGGAATGAAGATGACACAAAAGATAAAAATGAGAGGCTTATGTGCAACAACAATACAGATATACACATTCTTTTATAAGGTATAGAAATGGTTGCTTGAGGCTCACAGCAAGGAGGGGGACATGCTGACAGGTGATGATTCCTTGGTATATATATATATCTTTCCATGAATCACTTCTTCTCTAGCTAGGACTTCCACAATCTTTCATGGAGATGCAATGGCTTTGTTTGATGAGCATACATTATTCTTCATGAGGATTAAGCTTGTGAACCCTGAGACACATGCACTGGAGGAAGAAAAAAAGGAGAAAAGATCTGTACTGGCATCAGCTAGTACTCTAATATGGAAGCCTTGCAATGATGAACTCCAGTTTAGTAGTTGCACACAGGACATGTGTATACAGCCATGGACCTTCAGCATTTATGGATATCACATGGGTTGGCTTTGATGTATGTAGTTTGCAGATATCAGTCCTCCATGGTCACATTCATGCACAAGAGTGGGTGGTGTGGAGCAGGATGATCTTTTGCTCACTTTCTTCTCCTGTTGGCTCCCATACTGTTAATCCTTGAGAGAAAGGGATTTGGTTCATCAGACCTTGCCATGTCCTTGGCTCATCTTATCTGTACATGAAGAAGATGTCATCTTTCCATGGTTAGCTACAGTGTATTTGCCAAGCAGTAAACTTTATTTAAACTTAGGCAAGCTTTCATCTATGAGAAGAATTGGAAAGGACGGGACACTAATGATGGATTAAAGTCGACCGACCAAGGTAAGCAAGCTGGCAGGGCAGCCATGGTGTTGTTGGTGGTCGTCTTGCTCTTGCTTTGCTTGCCTTGGAAGCCTGACGAGTTGATCTCATGCGTTGCCTGTTCACGCCTGGTCAGCTTTCATCGGGCCATCATGATCACTGAATCAGCCAAGTCCTCAGAACAGACGTGAATCGATGACTCTGGAAACATGCAGTAGCTACGGTGTTTTCTTCTCTCTTTTCTGCAGGAGCAATTCACAGGAGAACGTTCTGTCCCGCACATACTATTACATATATTCTTAAAACATAAAATTATATATAATTCTATTTTTTTTTTTTTTTGAATCTTTTTCTCGATTAGCGACTCCTCCGATTATTCTTACAGAAAACTCTTTTATTTTTTAGAAGATGAAATTATGCTTGACCTCTGCCCCTCGTTCGTCGTTGTCGCTGTGTAATCGTCTGCGGCCTCAACCTTCGCCGTCAGTCATTGCTGACGACCGGTCAACGGTGGCCTAGGCTTGTGCAAGCCAATTACAACGAAGTCAACATAGTCGTACATGGGCTTGAGCAAGTCACTCTTGAAGTCGGTCGTCGTCCCCGACCTACGCTCCTCTCCAACATCATCTGTCGCGAGGCCTCGTCACCCTCGCCGCCCTCCCCTCTTCCTCCGACCTCGAAGGCATCAACAACGCACCAACCGCAAGAAAGTCAACATAATCGTACTTGAACTCGAGCGAGTCAACCTCGAAGTCAACGTCGTCCCCGACCTCCCCTCCTCTCCGACATTGCTCATCGCAAGGCCCCGTCACCCCCCAAAACCCGCCACCATCGACAACCTAGTTTCCCACAATTGCATCGCTCTTCGTTGCAACAGCATCAACCACGAACTCGACGACACATACGATGCTTGCCTCGAGCACTTGTACGATGAGTAAGCCTACTGTACCTTGTAGCTTCATGACACCTCCACCGAGGACCTCACCTTCATCTTCTGCGACACCTTCGACTTCCTCGAGGAAGCCCAAATCACCCCTCGTGATCACAAGCTCATCCCACTACTGCCACGAGGCCCCACTTCCTTCGCCACCCTTACATCCCCCCCTCCCCTCCCCACCAACCACAGAGGCCAACGAGTAGATAGAGACCTGTTTCGAGTGCAACCTTGCACACAATGTTAAGGCTAAAATCAATGCAATTGCTAGCCACAAGCAAGAGTGGAGGCAGCAAACCCTCTCTTAGATGGAAAGTCAATAGTACTGCAATCCGACGGAGTAGAGGATGTGTGAAAGAAAATGAGACATGAAGAGACAGAGATGACGATAGAGGTGCCGACAAAACCAACAATAGTTTTATCTTTTTGAAAATAAAAAACATTCTACAGAAATAAATAGTTTCAAGAAAAATGTTCTACAAGAATAAATAGAACAGGCGACGCTAATCAAAATAAAAATAAAAATAAGCACACATGAAGCCTATGGGTCATAAGAATAAATGTACACGAGCGCGCACACACACACAGCCTCTGTATCATAAGAATAAATGGCAAATTCCCAATCAGCTGATGATTTCACAACTTCGATTCGTTCGAGCAACCGGGCAAACGCGACCACGCTCCCTTTCCTAGCTTATCCTCACCAAGCACTGTGCGTTCAATATCATTTATTCATAGAATAACCTGTTCTGCATCCTATACTGGGAAAACTTCATAGGTATTAATTATGGAAACCAAACTGGAAAATCGAATGAAACAACCACCAAACGAGACACGTAGATTGAGTAGGATTAAATATAGACTCATGAAAAATTTGGGAAATTATAACCATCCTTCTGATCATTGGGAACTGTAACTAAGGTAGTGACCTTAGTTAGAATGACATAAACAACCCGAACAACCCGTCCGTGATGCCAAGAAAAAAAGTAGGGTGACAATCTAATTAGGATGCCAAGAAAACGATCCTGTCTGTGCTAACATTAGGTATCATATTAGAGATACGGAATCCATTGCGAAAAATGTACCAACAATTTGAAGTTACCAAACAACAGGTTTGAGCATACAGATTCGACCATAAAAGCTGATTTATGTTGTCATGGATGCCCCACACACAGTCACCTCCAAGGCAATAAAATAAACCCTGCATATTTGCCCACAGAAACATGATGTTAAGATAACTGCACATGATGAAAGATTCTTCAATAATAGAACTAAATATATGGAATCAACAAATAGCCAAGGAAGATAAAAGCTTCAAACAATGGTTTAGAAGCCATTATTGACGTCTCACCCAAATCCAATATCACCTCAACAACTGGCAAAACCCAAGTCTGCCAAGTACCACTGCTTCTTAAACATTATATTTACCACATAGTGGAAGACCATTATAGCAGAAGAAAAAAAATGTGACCGAGTTGTCCATACTCACTTGACATGCTGGTATTTACAAGTGGCCTCAATTGTTCAACAAATATGAAAACTCCGATAGATACTGCCATTGATCATCTGCAGTATATAGCTTGATCAATTTGGGGAGGAATCTGCTTAATTTCAGTTCCGAGTTCTTGCTCAATCCTATACCTGCAATCATATAATAATTCTTGTCAAAATAAAAGAAAGGAATAAAAGTAAATGAACCAAGAAAGTCCAGAACTGGTAAGAGTGCATACAAGTTAAAGCGGTCCTCATAGGTGATGAGATTTACTGCTAAACCGAGGTGACCAAATCTCCCAGAACGACCAACCTAACAAAGTCAAAGACATGCCTTCTAAGATTAATTCATGAAAGCTTCCAATTCCAGAATGTGATGGATAACATAATTTATGACTGTTGGAGCAAGCAGTCAAATAGCAAAATTTAAAACCAGAAAGATCAAAACAAAATCACCATGTGAACTGATGACTCAAAATATGAACACTTTTTTGACTCAAAACTCAATAGTATCAGTAGCCAGCCAACTTAATCAAAGTACTAGCATATATCATATGATTTTTTGAAAAAACAATACCCTGTGCAAATATGTCTCGGAATTCTTGGGGAAGTCAAAATTGATGACAACATTAACAGCTTGAATGTCAATACCCCTAGTAAACAGATCTGCAAGATCAAGGACAAAATGTTAGAAGCCATTAAAAAATATAAACAATCTATCACCAATTTCAACTAAAACAAGGATATCAGAAATGACCAACAGGATACACTTTTGAAGTAAAACATTGCGCTTGAGTTTTACCAGGTCTTCTATTTTTTTTTTCCTTTTTTGCTAAATTCCCCTAGTTCAATGGTTGGGAAGGACCAGATGAAATCTTTACACCTTAATTGACTTGTTAATATTCAGAGAGCCTATTTCAAGAGTAAAATGGAAGGGACTCCATTCCAGTTGTCTCAAAGTGAGTATTATGGAGACAACCAAACATAAGGTTTTTGGGTGGTGGCCTAACTGTAACTGCCTCCCCATACAAGAGAGAATACAATAACAAGTACCAACAACAACAAAAATATGAGACTCCCAATTTTATGTAATTCATTGCACATATAGATGGTTGAAGGGGAATTAATGTCAATAACTACAATGAATTTAGCAAGCATGACAACCATTTCAACTTATAATGGTCCATTCAACTAGAAAATAAATATATGACAAAGCAAATTTCATCCTTGTATTGTGTATATGCCTTTATAGATCTACAACTGATGTTCATTAACTAATAAAAACAATAACGATACGAGCACTAAAGTTAGACAGCATATTCACATTTATGGTTTATAATATAAGGGGATACATGACAGTAGGAAGGCCAAAAATGCCAAAATAGAGGTAGTAAAACGAGTGCAAGACCAATACAAACTTTATAAGAGATAAATATGGATGTGAAAGTCCACAAACATATCAAACATGGATGCGTAAGTCCACAAGCATTTCCCCTGTCAACTTCTATTCCATGCATACACTGAAATTACAACATGATTGGTATACTGCTGGGTTAACCGGAACCAGACCAGTCAGACAAGGTCTGGAAACCCATACCGGACTAAGATTTTAGACACTGCCGACGATTGCTAATAGCATAAAATATAAGAATAAATAAACAAGCATGTACATCATTAGACACAAGAAAAAAAGCTTGAGGCAGTGATGACAAACCTGTACAAACAAGATTCCTGCATGCACCATTGCGGAAGTCATGGAAAACTCGATTCCGATGATCTTGCAACATTTTAGCATGAATGTAGAAGCAAGAATAACCAAGCTCAGTAATTTTCTTTGCCAATAGCTCAACCCGATTAACAGAGTTGCAGAAAATGATGGATTGATTGATTTGAAGCTGGAAGAAGTAATGCCTGTTAGCATCACAACACAACTTCAATTTACAATGTGCATATTGCCAATGGTAAAATGACTAACCTTAGAGAAAAGAGTATTAAGGCAGTGGACCTTCTGCCTTTCCTCCACAAAAGCATAGTATTGAGTTATTCCCTTCAAGGTTAATTCATCCATTAGATTAATTATATATGGTTTAGGAAGATATCTGTCTTTAAAATCCTTCACGGTTACAGGGAATGTTGCTGAGAATAGCAAAATCTGTCGACTAGCAGGAAGGAAACGTATAAGCTGCTCCACTGAAGGCTGAAACTCAGGAGCCAGAAGTTTGTCTGCCTGCAAAAGGAGAGGGATTCTGTGAGGCAGAAAGATGAAAAAGGCAGAAGACACTGATACACAAAAACCATAGGTGGGAAGATATGTATGTATACAAATAGACACTACGACCTCGAAAAGAATTGGATATTTTCCTTAAAACTCTTTCACAAGTAGAAAATGAATTGATAAGAAGGAAAGTTACACAGCATAGCTTCCTTGATGTGTAAATTAATCCAATCAACCGTAGAAGCTAATAAAAAAATATACAAACTAATTTTCAAACAAGGAAAATGAAGCATGAACAAAATGTAATAATCAGACTCGAAATAGAAGGCTAGATAAAGTGATATCACCTATATTTACATTTGACAATAAGATTAGAACTGCAGCACACAAGTATCATAGTGACATCCAGTGCTTAGAATAACAAGGTAGCAACAAATTCTTCTTCTAACAAACAGAAACCATGGAAAAATATTTTATAAAACAAGAAATGATTTGTAATCATCAATATTGTGAGTGTCCAAAAGAAATAACTTGATCATGAAATTCTTGAAAGAAGAGCATGTTTAAGAATGTCACCTAAGATTAAGCAAAGAAACATATATAAAATGTCCAGTAAACCCAAGATCATTATATTTTTGTTATGTTCAGAAAAACAAATATTTATAATTATTTGTATTTTGTACCTCATCCATAATAAGCATCGAGCAATCCTTAAGGATGCAAACACCTTTTTTTGCAAGATCAAGTATTCGCCCAGGTGTACCAACAAGCAAATGGACAGGTTGATACAAACGCATTATATCATCCTTCAAGCTGGTTCCTCCAGTTGTAACCATCACTTGAATCTTCAAATGTTTTCCCAGCTCCTTACAAACTTGTGATGTCTGAAGAGCCAACTCCCTCGTGGGAACTAATATAACAACTGTATATTGAAGAACAAATTTACCAATAAGCAATTAGAAACAGTTCTCAAGTTCCAGCTAGTGTATGTGCTAGTGTTCATAGCACATATAAAATATGCAACAAGATCAAGTGCAAGGTATCTGTTAATTATGCATATCATACATGTAGTGTAGCACCACAAGATAAATAAAATAAATAAGTAAAAGAGCAAATATCAAAAATAAAAAAAATGACGCCATAATTTTTCAGAAGCATGGTGTTCAGAATGAGAAAACAACATATTAAGTACAAATATGAATCAAGAGAATTATCACAAGAAATTCAAACTCCTAAAAAAGCCCAAAGCAATCACAAGAAACCTTGAATGACATTGCGATCTTGATCAATTTTTTCCAGTGCAGGAATGCAAAATGCAGCTGTCTTCCCAGTCCCATTTTTAGCTCTGGCAAGAATGTTACTTCCAGTGAGCGCAATAGGAATGCTTTCTTCCTGGATAGGAGAAGGTCTTTCAAAACCCTTCTCATATATACCCATAAGAAGCTCCCGCTTTAAAAAGTAATCTTCAAATTCATTTCCTTTAGTTGCAGTCACATCCTGTAAAATACATGTCAGAGATACATCTTGGCATACAAAAGAAGATAATAAATAAGCACAGAAAAGGATCCATCCTGCCACTGATGCAAGTCCAATCAATTAATCTAAATTAATGTTTTACTTCATATGAATACAAGATAATTACATGATTAACATGATCCCTTTATAAGGCATATGGCAGTAACATGCATGAAAAACAAAGAACTTTAGACATCAAGAAGATATCATCAAATATTGGGCACTTTACCATACATATATTGCATCTTTGGGGATATTAAATGACAGGCTAAATATATTAACAGGCCAAGAATATTCTTAATTTATGAGATACTAGTAGGCATCATATTCCAACTAAATTAGAGCATTATGGAAGTGCTACACAGTGTTGTCTCCAGAATCATAAGGATAATTCAACCAGTTTCTGCAAGGCAGCATCCAAATCTGTTCAAATTACAAAAAAAATCAAAAATTCAATAACCACTTCAATACCAAAAGTGTGGATCTAGGTGCCACAACAAGGTTGCTCCTTTCTGATCTAGTGATAACAAAAATAGCCTCTCTACCCAAATAGACAAAGCTGCATGCGTTGACTCTCATCCTGCATTAGCAAGAATTTTTTGCACCAGGCCACCTTTCTTTTTCTTTATTTCAGTGATAAGACTAACATTTAAGCAAACAATATACCTAAATTCATTTGCACAATGGCTGTCTAACATTGTTGAGTTAAACACATCACTTAGTGAAAGAAAATTGCAAACAAGAGATAAAATTGGTAGACAAATTAAACTTGAATGACCAAACATGATGGCACAAAATAAGGTGGAAGGGAATCCAACAAAAAAGGATTTTTCAGATAACTAAAGGAAATATGTCAAAAGCCTAATCAAATCCATCTTTATGACAGTAACATAACACAATCCAAATTTTACCTCTGTCCTGTAACGAGTATCAGATGGTGGTATCTTCAGGAGTGCCTTCCAATCTTGAGAACTGTAACCACCAAGACAAAGAAATAAGAAAAAGAAAGGCTGTAGTTCTGACACAAAGTGACAAATTCTACTAAACAAGAACTCAACTATTATCATACATGATGTAATAGACCGAAATACAAGTATTTCTCAGTAAAAGAAACCATAACTTTCCAAATCGTCAATTTAAGTTCCAATGAGTAGTTTACAGGAAATTTAAAATTGTTGTCAATTTCACCTATAGGATTGTTAAAATTCATAAATTTAATAGAGTTTCCAAACCCAAGCATAAAACAAAAATGTTATAGAGTAAAAAAACTGCAAAATTAATCTATTACTGTATTACAAAAAAAATACTTAACATCTAACAAGTAGCTTCAAGGATGTGCGACAGAACGAAAACAAGGAGCAAAATTTGGCAGTCAAAATCAACAAAAATCCAACTATTCAGCTTTTCATTTTTCTTTTATATTATGTAATAAGTACACTCGAATCATATTTAACAAACTGTTTGACCCCCAACATTTACCATGAGCTAGTAGGGGAAAAAAATGATATCACAGTAAGTGGCTTATATCATAATATTCTGGGATAAAACTGCAAATGTTCAGAATTATTGCATAGTAGGTGCCAAAAAATATATATTTGGCAGACATGTAGATGTCATTAAACATCAACATAATACTATGATCAACAAGAGATAATATTGAATCGAAGGATCTACAGTGTCAAAGGGATAGATTCCAAAAATGTATAAATTAAAAGCATCAGTACATCATATGTGATCTGAGCAAGGTGTATCTCTCAAATAAGGTTGATCTCAGATGATGTTGGCCCTTAACCAATTGATGGCCAGTTGCCTCCCTCTCTCATCCCTCCTTAGAGCTCATTCATTCCTCAGCTGATCCCATGCATTCACATTTCTAGTGCAAAATTCTCAGGAACATGGGAGATCAATTAATCCAGATTTTTTTTTATAGGTAAAGACAATAATACCTTAGTCAAGTCATTCTTCTTTGGTAAGGCCAAAATATAAATAGTGAAATGCCAAAACAAAAGACATTATATATGTCTTTAGCAGTTCCATATAGAATTTTATTAAAAAGACATCAATTGCAGCAGCAGGCAAAGTAGATCCGACTAGAGTAATATGTAATATATCCCAGCTATAAGCCAAAACAAAATTTGTCAACATCTACCAAGTGACCTTGTATCTGTCACATGACTCAGGATTCTAGAGTATTAACTCTTATTTCATTCATGAGCTACAAAACTGTGAATCTCAACAACTTCCACTGCTAAAGATCTATGTCATAAAAATGAAAAAAAAAAAAAAACTGCATCTAAATCACTACAAATGAAGCAGCATATCAGAAACATTGTGTAAAAGCAAATGTGATAAGCAAACAAAAGAGCTGACCAGTAGCCATTACTCGTTATGCAATCAGCTATGGAACATCACTGATCCACAAAATTGGGAAGTCTATAAAATTCTTATCAAATCCAGTTTATCCATTATAATTTTAGCCATACACTATTATGTTATACTACAGCAGTTCTTATGTAATAAAGCCGCCAACAAGTTGGGATAAAGGCACTAGTAGATTCTTGATTTGCCTATTTTTCACTTCAAAGTTTCTCACTCACAGCACAAGTGCATGGAAATTCCCTTTTTGTGATCCCATAATTACCAATTCTGTTAGAGAACAAAGAATTGTTGCTTTTACTAAACCAATAAAAACAATGTGTGTTTCTGTCTTCTGAGAGGATGAACTTCCAAATGATCAATTCCATTAAATACCAACAAAGTAAGCATTGAAGACAATTGAGAGAAATGTACTGAATCCCTCCGACATATTTCCACTAAAATGGTCTCTCAACAAGCCATTTTGCACCACATTCTCTAATAAATAAAAGGACTACAAATATGATGCATCCTTGTTCCTTACTTGAAATCTAGTTTAAGTGTACTTGAGCCTAAAGCAAGTCAATTTTTTATCCTGTTTTCAGAATTATTTCTGCTATACTGTTAAATATGTATTAAGAGAGTTCTACTGTTATTTTTATGTTAAATTAGTAGTCTATTCTTATTAATTAAGTGTGCATAAAATTCATCAACAGATTGGATAAGAGAGTCTCCATGAAGAGTTTTCTTTTAGAGTCCTACGCAAAGTATAAATAAGAGTCACATCAAATCTTTTATGCATGTTAGTTGGGACAGATGATCGGAAGCTTTGAACTTGTTGGCCTGCAGTATTTATGTGATCCCTCTTCTTCTCTGATTCTGTTACTAAAATATATATACTTAACACCACTCTCTGCTGCATCACATTATCAACTTTGGAGTACATTTAGTCCAGAGTCTTAAAATTATTACCCAGGTACTCAGTAAAAAAAACCTCTGAATCACATGAAGTTTCTCAATCAAGCCCCTTGATGTAGAAGGGGCCTATCTATCTTAGGAAAAATTAGAAAACAAAGCAATCAACAGGGAAAATGGGAAATATCATGGAGTGTACCATATCAAGAAACCAAGTACCTTGTAAATTTATTTTTGTATTTCTAAGTTAGATCCTTCCAAATAAAGCCATATTTACTATACTTAATGTAACATAGAACTACATACTCCCAACTAGTACCCAAAGCCTTCTCCAACAAGGAAAATCTATTGATCACTGCATACAATTAGGGTTCCTACATAATAAATTATTGATCACTGCATATGGTTAGGGCTACTGCAAGTTCATCATTCAACAAAATTTACCTTAGATTCCAAAAGTAGTAATAAACAGATACACATATCCCAAGAACAAGAGTCGCTCAAATAACCATAAGATATGTTGCATCGTACCAAAATGATACTGAATCGTTAATAGCTAATGCATTTAACGTCAATTGAAACCTCCTCGTAACAAATGTTCCAAACTTTGAGTGCAACTTCCCCAAGGCAACTAGTAGAGATCCATTCCTTTTTCTAATTTTTACTATTGAAAACTGAAACCTCTGAACAAAATTTATGCCACGGTCTTAAATCTTTCTAATGAATTCAGAACTGAAACTCCAAGCATCAAAACTTGTAGAGGTATCAGAAAGAAAGAAAAGGATTAAGCAATCTGCAATCATCTTTTTTGACTTGATTCAAGACACTGAAGACATTTTGCAATAACGCTTACAATGAATTCCAATATAAAAATAATAAAATTATTGTTAGCAGTAACTGGGGGCTCCAGGCAAAAGTTACATACTGAATAAAACATCTAGTCGGTGGTGTTAGCATCTGATTCATTATATGGCTCTCAATGTCAAAAACAAAACAACAAAAAAATCGACCAAAGTAGAGTTAACAATTACACGTACGCATAACAAAAGCTACAATATTTTTTCATTAATGTTTTCGCCTTTCCTTTTACCTGGAATCCATTAAAGTTACTGCGTCAGATTGAACCGCTTTCACGACTTCGCCAACACCAGAATCGCCCCCCATTTGATTCCGCCTCGACCAATGCTGGTGCTGCTGTGGCTGAAACTGGTGATTCTGCTGTCCCTGCATCGGATTCCTCTGCACATACTGCTGCTGGTGCTGAGGGTTTCTTGCATAGAAATTGGGGTTCGCACCCGCGCCGCTGCCGCCCATACCAGGTGGAGGATATCTACCTTGAGGATTCATCTCCAACTTGGATCGGATCACCCGAACGGTCTCTTCTAAGCGACAAACGAAGAAGAAAAAAATCGCACAAAAGCAAGAAACGAAGATCCTCCACAAAAAGGGCAATGGAGTAAAAAAAAAACGAAACCAAGAAAGCAGGATCAAAATAAGGAATTTTCAGATCGGAGTGGAAGATGTAAGAATCCGAGGCAGAGGTTGATTGGAGGATCTTCGAAGCGTCGATCCGTCGCGATAACAAGAAGAGACTCGAGGCTTTGGAGACGGAAAGATGAAGAGGAAGGCGTTACCGTCAAGAGCTGAACGGACTTGACAACCGACGAATTTTTGGATGAGGGTTCGCCGTGGGTACGTTTTTAGGGCGACGACGACGGAGAGCACCGTGCGGAGGTTAATGACGAAGAAGCCCTCCGACGCGTCTGGAAATATCGAGATAGGATAGGGTGGTGTTGGGTTGGAAGCATCCGCAAACATCAGCAATGCCATTACGGCACGGCTAGAAGACTAATTTGGTATAAGACGGGCCCCACCGTGCTCTACGTGTCGAGAGCATATTCAACCACGTCACCGTGCTTTTCTAAAATTGGAGATCATCCTTCAATAGGTGGCATTAGTTGCATTAAAACTTTCTACTTTAATTTTTATTCTATTTTCTTTATTTACATAGAAAATACTATTTCTAAATAAAAACTAAAGATTTTTTTCCTTTTTCTAATATTAAATGTATGATAGTGGCGGTGAGGAATATTTGACAATTCCTATGACATCATTGAAAATGATAATAATGATGAGATAATGCGATTTTATAAGCCGAAAGCAAATAATCACTCCAATTAAATTGTTTTATATACCATTAATATCTAATAAAATATGTAATGCATTGTAAAAATGAGAACTCGTAATATTATAATCTTCATTCTTCCTATTGACGCTCATGTATAGTCTAAATCACCTAATTTTATATGTCAAATTAAACTTTCTTAGAGAGTAGTAATATGCATGGAGAATCATCGGGAATGAGAAAAAAAAAGTCCATGAATGATGTGTATTATTTTTTAATCTAATGTGAATTTTTTTATTAATAATTTATATATTATTAGGAGAATATATTATTGACATCTTGATCATTATGATTATGATATAGTTCGAACATGTGTTTATAAGATTATCCAAGATATCTCTAAGATAGAAACGTGAAGCTCCTTATATGTTATGTCGCTTGCACAAAGATCGAGAGGTTTTTTAAATTTGTTCCTCCTTTAGATGTCCAAATTAGTAACATCAAATATATAAATACAAATAATCAAAAAAATTTATTAGCTTACGATTAATTTTCTCCTTATAAATTATGAGAATAAAGTTTGTGATTATCTTTCTCGTAATAAATGATGAGAATGATGAGAATGACGATAAATTTTATGAATAATAATATTATTATTTATAAAATTTTATATTATTAATTAATTTAATAATAATTTATATTTTTAAAAAATAAAAAATAATTTTTTGAGAAGCACTTCCCACCTCACTTTCAGAAAAATCATGATTATACATCAGTTACATTTTACTAAATATATTTTGACATAAAAAATGATCTTACAAAAGAAAGATAATATAGAATAAATAATCAACATATTTAAAGATGGGGTTTGTTAACTTTGATATAATAAATTAGGGTTCGAATTACATTGTTGTTATTTCTAAACAACAAGGAAATTTCCAATAAATGCATGATGGAATAGAATGAATTCCTCAAACTAATTGGTTTTGTAGTGTTATTTCTTTCTCCCACATAATAGATATGGAATTTGATCGCTGTATATAATGGCACTCATGCATAAAAAGCATCTCTTAAAACACAAAGTATAATCTCAACCACTCTACCATATTGGTTAAAGCAATTTTATTGTTTTATTGTTTTATTCAAAGCAAAAGGATGATTAAAGATCACCAAAGGACTTAAATTCCATAATATGATTGATTCCCTTTTCTTAAAGAAAGACACCTCATATGGTCTCGTAGACAGGAAGGTGAGGTCTTCCCTTCACCTCGTCACTCTTGACTGGGTCTCGTGGTTAGAGGCTCACATCCCTCCGTTTCCATCTCCTACCTTTCCTCCCGTGCTCCCATATTTTCCTCGCAAACTTCATGCAAAACGTTGATCGCCTCCCCCCCCCTCTCGGCTCTGTCGCCTTCCATTTTGGCAGACTTCATGCATGCAAACCATTGATCTTCGTGTTTTTGGAGCTTCTTTGTCTACGGTAGCAGTAAGCAACCTTGGATTTTGGTTCTTCACCATGTCTTTCATTGGTACCCAGGACAAGTGCAAGGAATGCGAGAAGACTGTCCATTTCATAGATCTCCTGAGCGCAGATGGAGTTACCTATCACAAGAGCTGCTTCAAGTGCAGTCACTGCAAGGGAACTCTCTCGGTAAATCTAGTTTAAGATCAGCAGTATGACTGGAGTTCCCCCTGTGTGATTATTAGACATTCATACATCGATACTTTTTGGAATGTCTCTATGTCTTCCTAGATGTGCAACTACTCCTCCATGGATGGTGTCCTCTACTGCAAACCTCACTTCGAGCAACTCTTCAAGGAGACAGGAACCTTCACCAAAAAATTCCCTGCAGGTTTTTTTCCTTCGTCGTTTCAGATGCATGCTTCGGTACATTATAGCTTCGAGGCTAATGCTAGGTTTGCGATTCGCAGGCGCAAAGTCTGGAGAGAGGAACGAACAGGTGAGCTAATTAACTCATGCATGATTCAGTGTCCAAGTAACTGGTTAGCTGACATGATCACGATCTTGCCAGTCCAAGACACCAAGTAAGATCTCCTCCATGTTCAGTGGAACTCAAGACAAGTGTGCTGTCTGCAAGAAAACAGCTTACCCCTTGGAAACGGTCCGTTCTTCCTCGCATCAAATGCGTGTCAGGAGCAATAAACGTAGCTCAGACTTAACGACGCTGTGGTTTGTTGTTGTGGCAGCTGACCATGGAGGGGGAGTCGTACCACAAGACCTGTTTCAAGTGCTCCGTCGGAGGCTGCACCCTCACGCCTTCGTCCTACGCGGCGCTCGACGGCATCCTCTACTGCAAGCACCACTTCGCGCAGTTGTTCAAGGAGAAGGGAAGCTACAACCACGTGATCCAGGCAGCGTTGGGGAAGCAGAACACGGCGGAGCAGCCACCGTCGGAGGCAGCGCCTGAAGAACCCGAGCAGGACGGGGAGCAGCAAACATGAGGACGTGAACACGTCGAGCATTGCTCTTTTTCTTCTGCTTCTTTATGTCTGACTTCATCCTTTCCACCGGAAAAGATGGGTCTGTTCCTGCCTTGTTATGGTTCTTTGTTTGACTTGATGTGGTAGCCGTAACAAAGGAAATGAATGGTCAACTTCAGTTTACTTGATATGTTTTCGAGCTTAGAAAATAATCTCGATGTTGTTCTCTAATCTCCATTGAGCTCAAGTGACATCATCAACATTTAATGATGTTTGGCAACAGTGTTTTCGAAGGCGATGTTTGCATGCGGTAAACGAAGCGGATCGCAGTTGCGACCGTTCGTCGCAGCGCTCCGCTGATCGTGCCAGCCGGCTTTAAGATCCGTGCATCAACGTGGCAGCTATTTATTGGTTGATATGGGATCTCGATGACTCGGGGCCGTAGGATCATCTAGAGCTGATCCGTACCCAAAGAACAAATCTGGACCGTCCATTTAAGAGAAGATGTACGAGTTGGAATCGGAGAGGATCCGAAAGAACGCATCGTATCCATCGCCCCTTTTCGTCGTTTTGGACTCTCCGCTTCCGCTCCGAGAGAGAGAGAGAGAGAGAGAGAGAGTGAGAGTGGACAAGTGGGCGGGAGGTCGTTGGGGAGGTGGAC